GAAAGAGTCCTCAAAGATATGAGCCAAAGAGAAGAGATGAGACTGAAAATGTGAAGCTCCTCAATTGGCTGACAGAAGGGGTGCAAACAGCTGGATATTTGCTCGGGGCACAAGAGGCTGGACACTTCCTAGCAGGGCCCAGGAGCTTCTCCAAGACTGGGAAGGCTTGTGGGGCCAAGTGGAGAGGGTTGTGACTCCTCCAGACAGGCTGGTAACCTGTGATCCCAGCAGGTCCCAGTGTGCACATTCTGGGCCTGGATTGCCTGCACTTCCAGGTCTTGGGATGCATTAATCCTGTCTTTGGCTGGGGGCTGAGAGGTGATAATAGTATCATTTTCTCCTGACTTAGGTCTAGCCTTTTCACAGTCAATGTTGACAGGTAAGAATGTGCAGATAGATCAAGTGATTCCTATATGATGCAGTGTACCTTTGATCATCTAATGCCCTTGCATGTTTTACAGAGGAGGAAAGATGCCCAGAGCCAAAGGTCCAAGGGCAAGGCCTGAGGGCATTGGGATGGAGGGAGCTGAGGCCTCCACAAAGCACTACAGAGGTGGGCCTGGGTGACTGGCAGAGCGTGGCTGGATGCCAGGTGAATCCAAGGCGTGTGTTCTGGGCCTAGCAGCGCACACAAAGGGGCAGGCTGGGCAGCCACTGGGGAAAGCTAATGAACCTAAGGGACCAGAAACACACTGCCTCCATGCTCTGCCTACTGACCCTCACCGGCTTCCTGCGGCTCTTTCCACTGTTTCCATTCTTTTCTTTCCTCCTACCTCTCCCCCATCCCCGCAGGTTCCACTGCTCCTGGTGCTGGCATACCTGGCAGTCGCCCCACGTGGTCATCCTCTTTCACATGTACCTGGACCGGGCCCAGCGAGCGGGCTCGGTGCGCATGCGCGTCTTCAAGCAGCTGTGCTACGAGTGCGGCACAGCACATCTGGACGAGTCCAGCATGCTGGAGGAGAACATCGAGAGCCTGGTGGACAACCTCATCACCAGCCTGCGTGAGCAGTGTTACGGGGAGCGCGGTGGCCACTACCGCATCCACGTGGCCAGCCGCCAAGACAACAGGAGACACCGCAGTGAGTTCTGCGAGGCCTGCCAGGAGGGCATCGTGCACTGGAAGCCCAGCCAGAAGCTGCTGGAGGAGGAGGCGACCATCTACACTTTCAAGCCGGCACCCAGCCCCTCCAAACCGCAAGCTGAGATGGGTTCTGGCTCCAATTTCTGCTCTATCCCCTGGTGCTTGTTTTGGGCCACGGTCCTGCTGCTGATCATTTACCTGCAGTTCTCCTTCCGGAGCTCAGTCTAAGATTCCCTTGGTGGGCGCCAGGGAACTCTAGGGATCCAAGGCTAGGGGGCCAGCTGGCTAGTGGGAGGGGTGCAGAGAGACCTGGGTTGGGAGTGGAGTTAAGATCTAGCACTGGTGCTGCCACTGACTCAGCGGGTTCCCTGGGCAGCTCACACAGCTTTTCCATGTATAATATCATGGGTTTGGGCTAGATCATTGGTTTTTCAAAATGAAACCCAGGGCCCCAAATTTCTGCACAGGTGCCTCAGGGACTTTTGGATTTGGAAGGTAGATCGTATGTCTGGATCATCCTGGTCAAACCTTGCATCCTCCTCCTCCTACTCTTGTTGCTTTAATCAGGAACAGCTTCATCTTGGAGTTCCATTAAAAAATCTATACTAATAAAAGAGTAATATGCTAATTAGACCAGGAGATCTTCCTGGAGACATTCTGGACGTCTTTCTGGACAAAGCCGGGGGCTTGATCAGCCTGCAAACCGCCCCCAAACAGCCCTCAGTCTTGCCCAGGCTCGCCACACCCCCAGTAGGGACCCCCACCCTGATGGAGGCATGGCTGGCCTGCAAACTGCCCCAGCCCCT